GTTTTGTCTTAGTTTTAGAAAGCAGATCTGTATGAGAGGAAAAAATCCTGTTGGTAAATGGTGTGGTGAAGGTCAAAGGCCGATCAGGATTGGCTGAATTCACGTGTTGTGTGATGTGCAAGTTGTAAATAGTAAAATTAATCTAATTTACAGTGGACTATGAAGTATGCAGAAATTTATGCTTCGAATGTTGACAGTATATTCCAGGAAGCAGAGAGAGGGTTTTCAGAGTCACTAGGGCGGGAGGGTGGGGTTCCCAGTGTGAAGCTGCGATAAGGAAGATTAGTCACTGGATGTGAAAGAGACAAGGGTTTAGGAGGTGATGTTATCCCTGTATGAAAGAATAATAATAATAATCCACTAGTGATTTCAGTCACATCCAATGTTTTCAGCTTGTGTTGCAATAAAAAACTGAATAAGAATTTTCAAGGAAAGGTTGTGACCATTTCTCCATAGGAAAATATGCTTTGGCATTGGGAGGACAGAGAAAGGGCTTAACAAGAAAAGCGGTTTTCTCTCTCTCAATTTTAGTCTCCAAGCAAATTGCTTGATACTAGTGTTTGCTTTGTTTTATTGTTTTGTGGAAGGGCAATTGCACCCGTATTAAAATACGTAGTAAATTTTAGATACTTTTTTTTTTATTCAGTGGAGGTTATTGATCTTAGATAATTAGGCCCAATAATGTTGCTATATATGAGAGAGAGAGAGTTATTTCCAAGCATTACATTAATCTCTAGCAGATATTACTGGTGGAAGTATAATGGACTCGTGCTCCGGAGATCAGATGGAATCATTATTACAAAGTTTTAGTCTTGACTCAAGATGGCTCTGAAAATGTATGAGTGTCAGCTTCATTGCAGACGCTCATATTTAGCATAAATGTATCCAGTGTGGAATTTGGGCATTACAATTTATTAGCCTTAATGTAGGTTTTATAGTAATTTTCTCTTTTCACCTTTCCTTGTATCTATTTTTCCATTGCTTTGGATTGATTGCAAGCGATATGGCCGAGTTTAAAGTGGCATTTGAGTAATTGCTTATAAAAGGAAATTACTAGGAATTTGTGATTATGTACTTGCTTCTATGTTGGGTTTTTTCATGCTTGCATAATGACTTAGTAAACCTTCCTTATTCTTTTAACATGTAATTCTTCAATTGAAAATATTTTTCTTCCTTTTCAGAACTGCATAATTCCACTAAAGTTACAAAAGCAGCGAAATCCAGGACAAGGAAATTCAGCAAGGTTTGTATTTGCCAGAAGGCCATTCAGCTATGAGTTACTGCATCAGTTGTGTTAGAAGTCCCATTTAATCTGACCTATTAATCTGAACTGGCTTTTGGCTCAGCTGATAATGTAGTAAGAAAATAAAAGACTTTCAAAGGGGTATTTCTGGCTGTAATTATTCAGTATGGTAAATAGTTGATAGTGCTAAAGTAAAAAGATAATGAAGTATTTTGAAGTTAAATCCAGAAGTGCTATATTCTGCCTTGGTAATGGTTAATTTTGAAGAGGAAAGTGAAAAAAGAAGGGAAATTTTAAAGTTAGAAGGAGTTCTTAAGTGGTGTGTGTATAAAGGATAAGGAAAGGAAGTTTTGTTCAAAAAAAGCAATGGGATTACATAAAAATGTGAAGGGGCTGCAAAGAACCAACACCACTTGAGCACAGGTGATGCTGGATTGGTTTTGGAAATTCTTTTTGCATATTGTGTGATTTGTGCTCTTTATGCGCTGTTATAACAACAGGAGAGGCTGAATCCTTGTTAAGTTTCTAAAATTTTGTACAGCCACTTGTTTTTACTTTGAATAATACCTGTGCTCAAAAGTCTTCTAAAAGCAAAAAAACTTTTAAGCAATAGGTATCTCTAACTTGCATAGGAAGCTATGTGTAAAACAACATTTAATTTGACAACTGTTTTACTTTCACTTAATTTGTTTTATGATAGAATGTAGAAAATTTTGCTTGCTTCCTATGTTATTTTGCCTGTGCCTACCTAAGATGTTCCTCATGAAGGCTTTCTTTAGATAGTTATGCTAATTACAAGCTAGGATGTATTGTACCTTGATTTGGATGTAACTGCAATGAATAGTTGTTTCTACAATTGATCATATTCCATTTTCAAAAGTTGTGTGTTTATTTTTTGTTTTATTTCTCAGTTTTTAAAAATTGCTATTTCTAACAAATCTATTCAAGAGGGTAGTCTGGCCATCTGAGTCATGACTGACATATTCCCTTCCCCGTATTAAAAAGGTCTAAATCTAGGAAGTAGTATAAACTGTTCGTCATCTTTGCAGGCTGAGGTATATCATGATGATATCACAAACTGGCCAACACCAAGTGAAATAGCAAACAATGAAGTAAGTATCCTTTGTTATCACCTCCCTTGACCTGCTGGTCATGCTGTTTCTGATGCAGCCCAGTGTATGGTTTGCTTTCTGGGCTGCAAGCACACATTGTCAGCTCATGTTCAGCTTTTCATGAAGCCCTTTTCCACAGGGCTGCTCTCAATCCCTTCATCCCCCAGCATGTATTGAAGTTTCACTTTGCCTGCTTTGAAACCTGTTATTCTGTGGGATTTCCAGGAAGTAATGATCTGCAGGATGCTGGCTCTACTCAAAGGCACACAGTTCCCACTAAATGCAATATCCTAATATGGGAAAAAATAGGTCTATAATCATACACCTCCACACCCTCAGATCTTTGGTTCATGTTCTGATTTAGTGGAACAGAATTGTCAGAGCCAAGACCTGTGGCTCCTTATAATTTACATGAGTATTTGGCATGCTGTTGAGATTGTAGAGCATCATGGGAGTTTCTGATTTACCACTGGGTGTTCTGTAAGCAAAGCTTTTTAAAGATAATCAGTCTGAATAGTAGGTACTGGTGAGTAATCTTTCTTTCTTTCCTATATAATAAACTTCATTTTTGAGGTATTGAAACGTGATTGTTGTGCACTCTGCAATTCTACATCAACAGTTAAAAACCAAAAACTTTCTTAGTCTAAAAATTATTCTTATATTCTTGCCAAGTTAGTGGAAAATAGAACTGTTTAAAATGAGACTTTACAAAACAACAGGTCTTAAAACTCAGCCTACTGAAGAGATTGAGAACAGGTAATAATAAGGGAATTTTAATAAGTAAAGGAAATTTAGACCTTTTGCTGTCAGCAGCTGTACTGTCAGAAATAATTGCCAGCATCTCTTGCAGTGCAAGACTGTAAGTCACAGTAAGAGGCCAACAAATAGAAGAGAAAAGGAGGAGAAATCTGATCAAAAAAGCGATAATGGAATCAAGGACAAGCAGGAGGCAAAGCCAAATGGTCCAGGAGATAAAACAAGCAAAGATGAAGCTCAGACTAATAACCAAAGGAAAAAAGGTCAGTCTGGGGGCTGTGTATAATGCAGTAAGTCACCACTGATACAGTTACATTAGTTCCAGTTGAATGACTTAACGAAACTTTTTCTGGTTTGAATTTTCTAGGTGATAATAGGATATATTGCTTTCTGCTAGGAAGCTTAAAACAGGCTTCCTTTCTTTATGGACTGTTCTGCTTAGTCAAATGGGGATTCTGGGGGAAAAGCAACTTGTGTCCTAGTGAAGGTCCATGGAACTCTGATGATTTATGGAAAATTCTAGTATGGATGTACAAACCATTATTATGTCTTCTATCTTTATTACCCTAAATAGATAGCACTATATTAATTTAATTTCATATACATATGTGTGTAATAACTATATATAACTACATATACTAACACATTTTTGGTTTTTACTATTAGCTTACACCTTGAAGTGATCATGTAAAAAATAAAACAGGTTATTAATTTCCTTTTGATCCAATCTGTTACATTTAAGATAGGAAGTAAACCTATATCTCATTTGGTTGGTAGACTGCAGTAGGCTGGAGAAAAAGCTGCGACAGTTTTAAGATATTGCTGCCATTAGCTGCTTTTGTTTCTTGCTTCCCTGATGGTATTTCTTCAGATGCTAAAGACCTTTGCTATTTAGATTTGTTAATCTTCCTATGTATATATTTAAGAACATGTTCTTGATTGCTTTTAATTTTTTCAAAGTCATAGGAACAACTTTTTTTTTTTTTTCTTTCCCTACATTTTCACCCCTATTTTATGTATTTGCTTATATTTCTTGGCTACAAAGGTATGAAGCCTACAATACCAGTTAAATATAGAACAGCAAATGTCATCACTAAATATATGGTTAGTGGAGATTTTAGGCCAGCCTCTGACAAAATAAAGCTTTGCTTTATTTTGCAACAAATAATTGTTGATGCACATGAAAGAATTCAATCTGAGTATCTCAAGGTAAAATACAGTACCACAGCTAAATTCTTAGGAATTTTCCTTATGGTTTGTGATTGAAATCTTTATTTTAGTGCTTGATATGTTATTTCTTACCTTTAAATTTCATGTACAAGTTGTGAAATTATCTAGTAATGAATTTATTATATGTATTTAACAGTTATGTAGCTATAAATTCTTGGTAATGGAACTTACATCTAAAAAATCATTAAATAAAAACCTCACCTTTATTTCATATATTTAAAGCTTAGGTAAGGTTACCTTTCAGTTTGAGAAATTCCTGTTTACTATTTAGTCATTCACCTTGTATCTTAAAATTTCATAATATCATAATATCTTAAAATTTCTGTGTTAAGCTTCTCCCAGTTTTTAAACTTTGAAATTAACTGTTACTAGTTCTACAAGAGAAATTCCACAGAATCATTTCAGGAGCTAAAACCTCAGGTAGTACTAGAATTACAAGTAATATATTAACTTTTCAAGGTAACAAGCAGAAATGGGTGCCACTTCACTTGGACAGTGTAAGGTCAGCAAGTCAAGAAAGACCAGGCTCTCGAACAAGCTCAGGATTTCTGTTGGAAACAAACAAGTCAATACCAACTCATGACAACTGGAGGAGTGAGACAAGAAGTAAGTGGTTTTCAATCTCTGGGTCTTTCTATTTGTGGCAAATGAAGTATAATACCATGTGAGTAGGTGTTAAATTGGCAGTTTATGTTGAAACTTGGCTTTGCCAATACTAAGTAAGACTTAGTGTTTATATTTGCTAATAACCTGCAAAATAGAAATAAATAGTATTTCTGTGGCTTAACAAATTTTAAATTGGAAAGTTTGTTGTTTAAGAGCTTACTGCCAGATATATTTGGAACCTCTTCAAGTTGATCAGAATTGTAACGTCTCAGTCACCGACTCTGCTGAGTAGCTGAGTTTGGAAACAGCCTACCTTTGCAATGTGTGTTGGTGCAGAGGCAAAATCAGAGCAGCATATGTTTTTCTTTTCATAGCTCCCTATACAGTCTTGGGCCACAGCTTTATGATGTGGGAAGTTTGGAAATAGTCTCATAAGGTGGCTGTTCTGTCCTGCTCTACTGCTATTCCTGCAGCTTGTTGCTACCAGAGCAATTGCTTGTGGACCTACACTTTGAACTCTGCTTTGGCGATTCTACTGATGTTGTTTTTTCCTTTAAGTTGGACCAGTTCCCTGACCTATTTCTCAGCATGGTCATGCAAAAAGTTGTTCTAGCATAACAGAGGAAGAAATGCACCACAGCTGGTACTGCTTCTGGTCCTCAGGTGTGCTGAATACAGCTTGTCAGACAGCAGAAATCTCAGACTGAGTGTAACTCTTTGGTTTATGTATTTGCATTTAAGTTTTAAAATCTCAATATACATTAACAATTTAAATGTTTACTCATTGTAAGTGCCAGATGCTACTGAGGTAGGATTTGCTTATGAAGTTGTTTTAGGAACATGGATGTGAGGGTTTGATCTGGCTGTCTGAGGGATGTACAGAGGTAGGGGGATGAATTTCGCTAGTGTATCTCTTTCTTCAGCAGTTATTCCTCAGGATGGTCAAATGACCAGAAACTTGTAGCATGAACTCTGCCTCAAGGATCTAGTGATTCAAGACCAGTTTCAGTGTGAGAAAACATGAAATCATCTCTTACTCTTCAGGAACACTGGCTGTGTAAATAAAAACTTTGTTTCAGGTGTGAATACAACACTAGTTTATGAACGTGTTATATATAGGACTTTTGCCTGTGTCTAAGCCACATGTACTCTCAGAGCGCAAAAATGAAACTGATCTGGGAAAACAGTTCAAGTAATGCCCATGCATTTGGGATCTCTAAAGGTGAGGGTAGTGACTGCAGAGACTGAGGTCTAAATTCCCAGTGGGAGACACACAGATTATGATATTCATAAATTTAGAGTCTTATTTCACAGAAAGTACAGGAACTGCAATGTACGAGCATACATGTTTTGTAGGGTTCATTAAAATTAATTGCTAGTAAAATAAGATTTCTAATATGAGCAGAGAATCATATCTTTAGTCAGTCCTTTGATAAATTTAGTAGCTCTCAATTTGATCAAGTAGAGGGTGTATCCCCAGGCATTCCTCTGACAGAGAGGACCCCCGGCATCTGGAAGACTATCCAATTGCATTGTAAAGAAACTTTAAGCAACAGTGGGTGACTGAAGATGGAAGTCTGAGAGTGTTAAGAGAAAGAAATGGTGTAAGAGAGGGCTTCATTTTCTCTCATGAGTAAAGTGAAAATTACACCTGTCCTTAAGTATTGTGGTGAGTGGAGCCAAGGTCCCTGGGGTCTGCTTTGGACCTGCTTGCTTTTCTTTCTTCTGCTGCTTCTCTCTTGCTCTCTTTTGCTATGTGCAGACCACATATTTATATAAAAAATGTACATATATTCTGACACAGTCACCTTAGGTTTGCATGTGTTATCATAAAGGGGTCCTTAACTTACAAGCTCAGTTTGGGGCACGATAATCAAATGATTGCTGTTAAATGAGCAGATTCAGGGGCACAGTAGATGGTTGCTTCTGGGAACCAAGAGGACCTCCAGAGACCCAATAGTATGGAAATTCCACCCTGAGCAGGATTATCAAGAGCTAGGAGCCATTCCTAACTATCTTGAGGTAGTGGGAGTTGTCCACAGGAGAAGAAAGGCTGTCATGCTGGAAGGAGAATTGCATGATCATTCCTTTATGTCCCAAGCTGATCATAGGTATTGTGATCCCTGAGCTGACAACAGCGTTCAGTTGCTTCAGAAGCATTTGGGATTGACTGCCAGTCAATCCAATTTAGTCTTCTTTATTGCTAACAGCTTCTGCCTGACTCACCTTCATGCATGGCTGGGCAAGCCTTGCTGTTTCACCCTTGCAGCTTTAGATCTGACCTTCTGCTTCAGCCAGCATGTCTGAGTCAGTGGATTGCTGGGGATGAAGCTGAGAACTCTGTTGCAGGGAACTTTTGAGCACTGAGATATTTAATTATGATTGCAAGTATTATGCTTTTTTATCTTAAAGATTGGCGCCGTGATAGAGAAAAAAATGATGATCATGATGAAGTATGCAGTGTGAGAAGTGAAGGTGGCAGTGTTCGAGGCTTCTCCAGAGGCAGAGGAAGAGGCAGAGGCAGGGGAAGAGGACGAGGCAGAGGAAACCCCAGAAGTATGCAAAGAAGTAAATACTTAGTAAAAACTTTAAACTGCGTTTATAATGTTATTGTTTGCACATGAAGTAAGAGTTGTCTCAGAAAACATATCCTGTAACTTAATTAGCTTGAGTATTTTAACATCAGATGCTGAAAGTGAACAGCAGTGCTTATCATGCCGTAAAATATTTGTGTGCTGGACTTAATATTTTTTCTTTTTATGTTCTCCTTTATTTTGAAGTGAACTTTGAATATTCAGTTGGTTATCACGAATTGTATGATGAAGGGATCGACCAAATATTTCAACCTGAGCTTAATGCTACTGTGATGTATTATTATGGTGACGCAGCAGGAGTGCAGATGTATTCTGTGGATGAAGCACTTCTCAAAGAATATATAAAGCATCAAATGTAAGTAGACTGCTTAATATACAAGTATTTTCAGAGATCTAGTTAAGATAAAATAACTCATTTCAAATAGCATTTAGTCACTGTTATCCATATAAGGATGGAGATTAAGGAGTCTCAATTTACCTTTTTTATTTAACCGTTACCAGTGTCAGTTTGAATTCATTCACTAGTGGGGAGGAAGAACTTGAGTGGTGGGGAGAAACTTTAAGGAAGCTGCTCTGCATCTTGTGCTCTAGTCTGGCTCTATCTCATATACCTGCTTTATTTATGGTACTTAGCCCTCTTGCTATGTTGTCATGTAACTGAGATATGGACGTCTCTGAGCTTGTGCTTTTGAGTACTGTTGGTCTGTTTGCCTATAAAGCTGTTCTTGGGTGGTGTAGCTAGATGTTTCACTTATTTGCTCTCAATTTCACTTTGAGAAGTCTTGTTAGTTTTATGGTTTTGGAGTGTTTCACCTGAAGCATTTAACTGAAAGAGAGTGGTTTTGCAATGATACTTGATTTTTCAATAATCTGAATTGTTTACTTTCTCATGTACACTATTAGGCAATGAGAAACCATCTGGAAGACTGATTATCACGAGGAGGCAAGTCAAAAAGGGCCTGGAAACCACTAGTTCATTTTAAAGAGACAGTTTCCACCACTGGCAGATATTTCATCTTCTGTGCTTGCAGCAGCATTTCTCTGTGATGCCTTTGTGGTGGTTTTTGATTGCCCTTGTGTTCCATAAAGCAACTTGCTTATTTTATTCTTGCTTCTTTTGTTACAGTTGACGCAAAAAGGAAGAAAAAAGCCTCTTTAAGGGCAGAAAGTATCTGGCATGTGGCTATCAACTTCAAAACTTCTATTGCAATCTTTTTTGTTACTTTTGCTGCCAGGCCCCTATGAGACCTGACAGTGGACATGTAACCCCATGTCAGGATAATCGGCCTGCACTGTCCTCAGACAAGTGGGGGAGGAGCACAGACACTCCACTGTTGGCCAGATTTCTGGGCATGCAGTGTAGAATCCAGACCTTCTAAGGTAGGACATGATGATGTCCCCCTCTGCTGAGAAAAATGTCAGTTACAGCATTGGTCACATCTGACTTCTGGTTATATTTGTATTTTATTGTAGCAGCAAGAGGTTGGCAGGTGTCAGTAGAAGGCTTGGCATGGCTGGCTATCCAGAGCCATTGGTTGGTTGTCTGATACGAACTCCTAAGGCTGTTTGATTATGGAGTTTGCTTTCCATGACAGAGAGGGTGATTCTTGAGCTTCTCTTATCACATTAAAAATGATGGAAAACAGACTTTATTCATCAATTACCTGTTACTTATTAGCTTCTAAATGGGGATGGTTTTGTCTGTCTTTCATAATTTAGTTATATAATACTAAAGTGACTATGCCAAAGAATGAAGACTGAGGAAAAAGAAAAGCAAAGCTGGAGGGGATGTGTGTGTTTAGGTTTGTCCCTCTACTTAGAGCGAACTTGTGCGTTGTCTTCATTTTTCATTAATGGTCTTTCACATTCCTTTTTCTAGAGTGATGGACATCAAGTGAGGCAGTTTGAGTCAAGTTCAGTCATTGTCCATTTCCGCTTGTGGAATTTTTAACTAGGTGAATCGTTACAAGATTTTACCTTTACTGTATGACTGTAAAGGTAACATTAGTAAAATGTTGGTATATGGCTTTTGTGCTTGCTTATCTTCTAGACTGGGAGGGGAAAAGGAATTTAGCAGTTTGGAACAGTAAACAGAATGTTCTTGAAAGAAACCTTCTCTTTGTGCACCGTTGCTTCACTGATCAATTTACTTAGCTCTGAGTAAGAGCTTAATTCTCCGAAAGCTTTATTCTCTTCTGTGTTTGATCTGTTTTAATGGCAATGTTTTCATTTGTTGTATGTCTTGTCCAACTTCGAGACTTTATTAATTCTGTTTTGGAGCAGAGTGTTTCATATGCAGAGCTTTTGCTTTGAATTTCTTTAGCTACCAAAAAATAGAGAAAGAAATGGTATCAAGCTTCTGCTTGCGTCACTGATGGCATCAGAGTCCTCTCCTCTTGGTAACTTTGGCCTTGATCCCAACTTCAGTGGAGACACTTAGCAGTTTGCGTTGCTGAAATTTGAATTATTTACATTTGCATGTGGTTGTTTGTTTATTTTTCCTCAGCATTTTAATGCCCTCTTATTTTTGTCCTACCTCTATTTTTGTCATAGAATTTTAATTGCTCTCCATTAAATATTTCACTGCCTACATTTTCCTAAACCTGCTGAGGAGTATTCCTTGGATGTAACATGCAAAATCGTGGTATATGCGTAAACTCTGTGAAAGACTTAGATTTTAGTTGTCATGATTAAATTGGGGTGTTTTTTCCCCATTTTTTCATAGGATGCTTTCTCTTTCCCTTTCTCTGTGTGTGAGATCATGATTTGAATTCCTTTTTCTCTTCACTAAGCATAAAAGGTCTTGACACCCTCATCATTTCATAGAGCAGTTTCATTATTTAAGAAGTTTTGTCTTTCTGCTCTTTCTTTGTCCCTCATGTTTCTTGTTCTGTGGTATTGTCAGATTCCTGAAATGGCCCTTGTTCCTCTTTATCTAGTAAACATCATTTCTTCTTTTAGACTTTACATTTCTCCATGAGCTGTTGTACCTTTTGATACAGTTTTATGTCAAATAAAACATTACTATTTTTTTCCTCATCTTCCCTCAAGTATGCTTGAAGTAATGATTCAGAGTATATATATGTGCCTCAACACTCAGATAGGATACTTAAAGCTTCTAATGTATTAGAAACTGGGAAAAGAAAAGATACAGTTGAGGATGAAGGTGCACTGGTACTGCTCTGTGGGAAATAGCTTATTCCCTGACTGTAAGCAGTAGTTATCCTTCATCTATATGGAGGCTAAGAGACTCTTATTTTCTTCTGTCCATGTAAGTAATAAGGGACGGGATGGGTGAAAGGAAAACTGAGTGTAGTTTTTCCTTATGCAATTCATACATGCAGATGTAACCAGGCTTTGATTTATACCCTTGTGTACTGTACTGGTTCATAAGTCTGTCTTCACATGTCACGCACACGTACTGTTCTGTTAGTCTTGCTTGTAATGGCACATCTGTGGAAAGAATGATTTTGTTGATGACAAGTATGCTCTGTTTTTAATGGAAGGCTTTAACAAGGAACCTTTAAGTTGCTATTTTAGGATTTTCTTTAATCTATAATAGGCTCATCTTTGCATGTTTTTTTCCACAGTGAGTATTATTTCAGCGCAGAAAATTTGGAAAGAGACTTCTTTCTGAGGAGAAAGATGGACCAACAAGGATTTCTACCTGTTTCATTGATTGCTAGCTTCCGGCGGATGCAAGCTCTGACTACGAATGCTGCACTCATTTTAGAGGTAAAATAATTCAGAAGTATGTATGTAGAAAGTTGCTTGGTTAATTTTGGACTGCCATTTACAGTCAGTGATGTGAACTTAAAAGATTTCTGTTTTCAATTACAAGGATTTTATGAAGAGGCTGTAAGTGGCAAAGCTTGTGGGTTTTTTCTTCTTTGGATGGTGTTGGATATGTGAAGTTTTTATAGTTATTATCTGCTTGTTACACAGGCCATAAAGGACAGTACAGAAGTTGAAACTGTGGATCAGATGCTGAGAAAAAGGGTTGATCCAGAAAAGTGGCCAATTCCAGGTCCTCCTCCATGCAGTCTGCCACCAACTGACTTTTCTCAGCTCATCAATTGTCCAGAATTCATACCAGGCCAAAGTTTTGGCTCACATACTGGTAAAGGATTTATTTTTTGGAAACCTAAGCTTAGGGATCTGTATGTAAGTTAGGAAGTTTGCCTCAATACTGATTTCGTAATAGAAGTTGTACGTTTGGTAATGGTAGATTCAGTTGGTATGCCTGTCAGCCTTCCAGTTGCTAAGTCACATGGCTGGCATGGCTGTTGTGAAGTAGATGAAGCTGTTTCTTATGGCTGTGACCATTCTCCAGAACGTAGTAGGGTGGACTAAGTCCCTTAGGAGCAGTAGTACTAGTAAGCTCAAGTTAGTTATAAAATCTGCTTCATTTTGGTAGCAGATGGAGGTTAACTCTTTACTTGGTGCATCCTTATTTTGGATGGGGATCTCATTTGCACTAATAATGAGACGGCTTTGTTTGCCAACTAGCCTTGGCAAGGAAATATTTTACTAAAATATTGGCTGGTATTAAATGGGAAGAATGAAGACTGAGTTAGGTGCCCATCCACAAAGCTAGTGGATGGTGTGGGGAAGACATCCCTGATGATGTTCCTTCTCCTTGTTTTCTGGGTAAAACATAATTTCTCTTAGACTGTTAGAAACTTTCCATATAAATAAGTTGTTAGAATTGATGTTTTCTGAAAGTGTTGAGTGAAGCTATTTTCTAAGAATGAAAATTAATTCTGCTGATTAGTGTTACATTTAACCAGAGGGTAGAAAAATGGTGGCTGCAGTTAAAAGAAAGACTAGTGAAACAATTAACCCCACAAACACAACAGAATCAAACCAACCTACAACAGGAACTGAACTAGTGTATTCCACTGCTAGAGTCTGCACCAAATTCTCCAAGAATGGAAAGCCTACTGAGTCCAAAGGAAAACACTGAAATTAGTAATTTTCAGACAATATCTAAAGGATTGTCTACAAGTTTACCTGATTTGGACTCTGAACCTTGGATAGAAGTGAAGAAGAGGCATCATGCATCCACCGTCAAACTAAAGGTAAGATGGAAAACCTTTAAGTCATGTTTAAATAAACAAATACAAAACTTGTCAACTTTCAGATTATACCATCGAACAAGATTTTTCACAACTTAAATTATGCTTGATAATGCAATACAGTTTGTGTGTGTACTTCTCATTCTGCCAGACCTGGAATAACGAAGTGCATTTAGAATCCTGATCCAGAGCTCACTAAAATGAAATACTGTTTGTGTTTTGGTGGGATTTTTTTCTGCTGAGGGACTATTGTACCTGTTGATAATTGAAAAATGTAATGTGCATCGATAATTGTTCTAAAAGTTTATGGCAGAATTATTTAGAACTGTAATTTACTTAATAAACATCTAGAAGTGTCTGTATTGCTTCTAATTCCCATACATCCATTTATTGAAGATGTTCTAGCATGTCCTATTTATCTCTCATTTGGATAATCACTATCTAATTCAAATACAAAATGCATCACTTTTTCCAACTTAGGAAAATATTCCTATGCCTGATCAAACATCAGATCAACAGCAGCCACCCCCACCTTCAGAAGAGCAAGAACAAGAAGAACTTGATTTTTTGTTTGATGAAGAGATGGAACAAATTCAATGTCAGAAGAATAAATTTACTGATTGGTCAGACAGTGATTCCGATTACGAAATTGATGATCAGGACGTCAACAAGATTTTGATTGTAACACAGACACCACCATATATGAGAAAACATACTGGAGATCATACTGTCAACCATGTATGCCATGCAAAAATTACATCAGGACTTGCTAAAGTTATTAATGATGGCTTATACTATTATGAGCAGGATTTGTGGATGGGACAGAGTGAAAATGATGCCATGATGAAGGTAACCGTCTTTGGTTTCGACCTGAAAATCATACTTGTCCAAACAGCTCCAGAATTAATTTTGGCCATTTGTTATAGTCAAAAGCATAACCAGCAAATTTTTCTGATGACAGATGTGACCAAAACAATTGAATTAATATTTTTTTTTAGAACTATTTTTAACATTTTGGAGGTGGTTTAAGTTTTCCAGTGTTGTGTTGTTCTACGAATTGTTAGTTTTGTAACATCTGCAAACCACTACCAGATGGAAAGAGGAGGGCATGTTTTTGTGATGAGTTAATAAGGGAGGAAAGTAATATCTCATTTTGAAGTAGTTTTATACTATATATTTATACTATACTTTTTGTTTGCCCTGTAGGTTGTTGGAATGATAGCTCTGTGAGCAAATGGAACTTCAGATTGCACACCTTATTTTATTATAGCTGAACACATTAATTACAAATACTGGCTTTTATTTAGATGTAGCCTGAGAGAGGGAGCAGGGCCTCTTCTGCTCATCTGCGTTGCTAGGACCTTCCTTGGCATGCTTATTGCAGAAAAGGATGGGTTTCGGCTTGGCAAGGGGCAGGATCTCAGCATTTCTATTTCTTATCTATGAAAATTTGTATATAGATGACCTTACTTGCCTCCGTTTGCCCATTTGTTGGCATAACTATTGCTTTCAGCCAATGTAGCCTGAGCTGCTTTTTTTTTTTTTTTACACAGTGCTCGCAGCAACTTTTACAGTGTGTGCTAGAGACCCCTTCCATCTCCCTTTAAAAAAAAATAAATCTGTACTGGCTGGGTATGGGTAGTTGTGTGTCAGTTATGGCTTGCTTATTTTCTCTTGTATGAAATTCACCTGTTTCTCTCTGGATGATATCCATTATCATGTTTTGCATTTACAATCTGCTTTCTTTAATTCAGCAAGAGATTGAGAACTTTAAGAAGCTAAATCTCATTAGTAAAGAAGAATGTGATAGTCTTGCACCAGAACGAATTGCTGATCCAACCCAGGAAGTTCCTCCAGAGTTACAGAAAGGTAAGTAATACATGTTTGTGTTCAGAATCTCTGGGATAAAGAACAGTCCTGTAGGTGTGTTGACTCCTGCCTGTGTAATGTTTTAATTTTGGCTCATTCAGTAGTCTGAGGGACTTTCATGGGTTTTTTGGTTTGCTTGTGTTTTTTTTTTCTTCAAATTGTCAGCCGTTCATCAGTAGCAAGATTTCCGTTGAATTAGAAGAAGCAGGTACCAACAGTTATCATGATATATATGAGCATCAAAAGGCAGTGTTCTGTTGTCAGCATATACCAACAGCAGATGCCTTGTGTTTAACTTGGCATTTACAATGCGTAAAGTAATAGCTAGTGATGTTGTGAGAACTTTTCTAGAAATTGGGATTTTTGGGGTGGGGGGGTTGGGGAAGAGGGAAATTAGAATAATTTTCTACTTCCATTGTGACCTTACTGGGCAGTCATAATGTCCAAATCTTACCTTTTGAGGTATTTCTGATACAGTATTCACATTTACTAGGATACAGGCTAATAGCATCTTTATAGTAGCTGAAGAAAACCACCTCACTAAACCTACCACCTCACAAAAAAGCAAGAACGTGGTTACATTTTCACCAACATTTATTTTCCATTACTTTGCTAGTGTAGGTGCATGAGAACAAGCAGGTAACAAAGAAGTGGGTTTAAATTTACTAGCAAAGACATGCTTGAAACATTTTTTCGTAATTCTGAGCAGTTTGTACTGCTTCTGCACCAAGTGCTTTTGTTAATTTGATGGGGATGATGTAGTTTCCTTGAACTGGAAAGGAAAGGCCTTTAAGATCCTAGGTATTAGGGGAGCTTAGGCTTTGAAATCCAAAATCTCTCTTGAAAACAAGTTTTTCTCCTTCCTGCATATAGGTTTGGCAGAGGAGCTGACTTGTAATTCGTTAAATTTTGAAGTACCTCCAAAAGCAGCAGTAGCTCAGTCACTGCCAACTGCAGTTCCAGATTCCTCCCGTGTTCACCCTGGCTTCACCCCACGAACACCTCGCACCCCGAGGCTGCAGGATCCCAACAAAACACCTAGGTTCTACCCTGTTGTTAAAGAAGCACAATCCATTGATGTAAAGGTAAATGGAAAGATGTAATATATTTTTTAAACCAGAAAAAAAGCCTATAAAACTCATTTCTGTCTCCACAATTTAACAAGCATATACTTTTTTTTATTATCTTCAAAATATTTACCATATTAATTCTCTTTTATTTCTATAAAATGGTTTCCACATTTTCTCTGTAATGCTTCTTAAAAGTCCTTTAGGTTATGAAACTGGACTGTTGTGACTTTCTAATGTGTTAGAATACAATATAAAATTTTCAGAACTTTGTGTTAAGAGGAAGGGAATGAGTGAAATCAAATTGGGAAAATAAATGCTTGATTTACTTTCTTAGACTCCAAGAAAAAGAAAAACACGGCACAGTACAAATCCTCCCTTAGAATCCCATGTTGGCTGGGTGATGGACTCCAGAGACCACAGGCCAAGAACTTCCTCTGTGGGGTAATTTCTTTTAATTTTGTCTTAGAAAATTAGTTTGCCATGTCATTATTTCCCACTGCTAATGGAGAAGGCTGTAAGAAAAGACAAATACAGTGGAAGCAAGTAAAGAGCAATGAAGAAAGACAAAACCTAGAATACAAGGCTTTCCAGAAGTAAGCTAGCTAGGCTGACTATGTTCACAATGTTGTTTGTTGATTCATGATATAGTAGCAGTGATTTTGCCTTTAAATTGTTCTTTAAAATCAGACATTACAGCAATGTTCAGTCATCATCATCTGAAACTGCCTGGGGTTGTTTTGACATACTAGCACAGAATTTGATTATGGTTGAGGTGCCCCCAAAAGCAGATGACTGGTCCCCATGTGTGCATTGTAGTGGTCATTAGGTGACCATATTATTCGGACAGAATGGTTGAAAAATGATATTGTAGAGCAGCATTCTGTTTAAAGGACAGAAATACATTTATGTTTTGGTGGTGGGTTTTTCTCTTTCCTTCAGGAGTTTCAATACTTCGCCTTCAGAAGGAACTCCACTAGCAGGGAGTTATGGGTGTACCCCAAATTCTCTTCCAAAATTTCAACATCCTTCTCATGAACTGTTAAAAGAAAATGGCTTTACTCAACAGGTGTACCACAAATACCGTCGAAGGTGTCTAATGGGTAAGCTCTGCTAAATGCACTTCCTAAAATTTTAGGTGGAGTTTACCAGGTGTCTTCTGATGCCAATTTTCTCTACATTGTTCCTCAAACTTCATTATTCTTGGGAAAAGAAAGCAAAATTCATTTGATGCTTCTATTTTATGACCTCTGCTTTCCATTTAACTTTACACACCCTGACAAAAAAATTACACTGAAATTTAAACAAGTTACTGGAAGATCTTGCTTGTTTATTGCTACTGGAAAAGCACTTATTCTGCTGAAGAATTAAAAGTAGGCTGGGTTTTTTTTTTTTTTTAACGTCCCCTTTTTTTCTTCCAGAGAGGAAACGGTTGGGAATTGGCCAGTCCCAGGAAATGAACACACTTTTTCGTTTCTGGTCCTTTTTTCTGAGAGATCACTTTAACAAGAAAATGTATGAAGAATTCAGGCAACTTGCTCTGGATGATGCAGAAGAACACTACAGGTATCCGCTTCTTCCTGGAAGTTACATACTGTTGAGGTCTTACCATTCCTTTTAATGACTGAGAAGTTTACATGTATCTGAATTGATCGTTTTTAGTATTGGCTTTGGCTCTATGTAAATCTTTAAAGCAGCATTCTGTGTAAGTTCTTTTAAAGCCAAAACCTTTTGTATGTATTTGTGCTTTGCAGATAAATAGCTAAACGTGCAGCATTTCCTGACTTGTAATTGGTCCTGAATGCTACAAAGTCCTGCAATTTGTTGACCGTGACAAGTCAGCTCTATACTGCCTAATACTCCTAAGATTATCCCTTCCATAGGTGAAGACATTTTTAACTTCATTCAACTTGTTCAAACTACTTCTTGCTTACCAAAGTACCAGTTGAAATGACCACTGTCCCTTCACCTCTTTGATCTTTTCTTCAGCTCCTGATCTTTCACTCAGTTCTCCTCACCATTCTTAGCTACAGAGACAAGGTAGCCCAGGGTTTTGAATGTTAAGTTCTGGCTATGGAAATCCCGGAGGTTGGTTGTGTTGTCTGAGCCTGCAGAGTGATAGCCCCTTGGGTGCAGAGGTGGCTTTAATAACATCTTGTGTCTCTGCTCTGAGCTTTCTTGAAGCTCTGTGATTATCCAAGGATACGTTTAACAGGAGAAACTTCAGAAGGCTCTTAAAGGGACTAAGGTGATGCAGAACAGGAGGAGGTGCCAGTTACCTAGAGGCCCAAGGCAGCGCTGGTGACCATGTGTTACCAAATCTGAGGCAGAAACCCTGGCTCTGCATTGTGTGGGTACTTAAAGGACAGAGTCTTGCCCTCCACACTAGGTTTTTGCACCTGATGGTGGGTTAGGGCTGGCTTCTGGTCTGACCCACAATGGTTGGTTTTGTTGAAACTGTTTATGCACCCAGACATACCAAAGATGTGAAAGCATTTGTCTCCATTTTGTATGTGTGGAAGTTGAAACAGGCGGATAACCTTGATTTTCTGAAGTCAGTTTTATTTGTGAAGATGTTTCAGAACAGTAAGTTAATAAAAATCAATCACAAGGAAGTGTTTTTCATGAGAAGGGTAAAATGAGATTGTGCCATTTACTTTAAATACAAGGAGAGACTGAAAACTGTCATCCTTCTGAGGAATGAGGAGCACATGTGCAAGTTTTTCATACCTCTCTGTTCTGTTGCAGGTATGGATTGGAATGCTTGTTTAGATTTTACAGCTATGGCCTAGAGAAGAAATTCAGGCAAGAAATATTCCAGGATTTCCAAGAAGAAACAAAGAAAGACTATGAAGCTGGTAATTATCACAGCCCTGTCATGGCTCACACTGGGGAGGCTTTAGATGGGAGATAACCCCAGTTCCTTGACACTGACCTGTTAAGCAATTCAGGAGCAGCTTTTGTTCATGTTCCTTTTCAGTTCTCTTAAGCATATAGTTACCAGTGAATAATTAAGTTTTTAATTGAATCTGACCTTTGTAAATTGGTAAAATTACCTTTTTCCATTATTAGGTCAGCTATATGGACTGGAAAAATTTTGGGCTTATCTAAAATACTCTCAGCACAAGACTCCAGCGGTTGACCCCAAACTGCAAGAATACCTTAATAAATTTAAGAGACTGGAGGACTTCCGAGTGGACGTAAGTTTCAATACTTATTTTCAATAAATACTTGGTGTACAGGTAGTTCTAGTGCAAGGTAAACTGAGAACAGTGTGTCATTGCACAGAAAGGCAGCTTTACAAATCCTGTTAATGACTCGGAACAGCATGATTAAAAAATTAAATTCAAATTAAATATACACTTTTACATCTAAATGTTCTTTTTTCGAGCCAAAGTCCAGTGCTGAGATGTGGTGGCTGAAATGTAAAAAGCATTGATGTATTTTCATTGTGTAATTAAATAGCAAAAAATAGGTTGTCTGTCATCTGGTAAGACTGATGACTCCTGTACCCTTTTAAGAATGTGGTAAATGAATTCATGCTCCACTATCATATCTGAATGACTGGTGACAGTCATGGTCTTTGCTGAGACTTCATATGCCAGATACACTGCATCCTTCCTGTTGACTGCTGAACACTTAAGCTGTTTGATTCCAGAGCATAGCGTTGCCATGCTTTTCGTGACTGGCTTATGGTATACTACATTACCATCATCCTCTCAAATCCTCCATTTTCCAGTTGTGGCAAATATTTTGAGGGGTGGACAATTAAATAATGCTCTAAGAACGTCAAAAGTCCTTGCTATATTACACATTAGCACTTCTAGCTAAATGGCCAGGAAAGCTTTAGAATATCATCAGAGAGTTGCAAATAACTAAGATTACTAGGCCAAACAAAGGGCCTAATTATGGAATACTCTTTTTTGATCCCTTGAGTATGTGAAAAGATAAATACCTGGCCCTATAGAAAAACCTTTAACAGACTGTCAATGTTTATTTTCAGCCTCCTATTAGTGAAGAATCTGGCCGAAAGAGACCAGTTGCCGCAACAGATGAGGATTCAGGTCATCGGAAATATCAGCCTAATTCTTGTAGGCCACTTCTGGCCACTAAACCAACAGCTGCTTGTCAGACCCAGGCACCAGGAAACATTACAGGTGGGAATACTGTGCCAGCATCCATAGGCTGTAACAGTGCTGCCATGAAATCTATAGAAAGTGATGTACCAGAAAAATAGACTGAAGACAAGCTTGAACCCTTAAGAATCAACTTTTACATCACTCTCTCAGTTTGGAGATCTTCAAGGCGAGCCAATCTAATAAGTGATTAAAAATGTTATGGAAGACAGAGGATTGGATTCACTTTTTCACAGGATTTAGTTCTAAAACATTTACCCTAGGAGAATTGCTCTTGCTTTTGGGATCATCGGAAGGATCCTGGGGAAGATTCTTTAGCTTCAGTATTGCTTTCTTCAAGCTTTTGTTTACAAACAACTGCATTCCTTGCATACGCAAAAAATACTTTGGGGATGCCTTACATTTCAGCTCATATTTCTTAAAAAAGGTATGATACACCCATGGTATTTACTGTGCTTTCTTTACCCAGATTTTCCCATTATTTGTATTTTACCAAAGCAAAAGATTACGTTATATATAGAATCTTAAATGTAAAGGAAGGAGCTACACGATTGGTTTGCTCTTTAACTATTAAAAGTATGCTTTTGTGCAAAAGTACACTTGAGAATGTGCAGCTAAGTCTGAAACTGCATTTCTGGATTCTATTTAGAGACATAGTTTCTATTTTTTTCAGGGTCTCCACAGTATTTTATTGAGTATGGAGTTTGAGTGGACATAACTGGGATAGTTTTGCAGGTATTTCCTTCAGTGCTGATTCTTAATAACTCAAGCAGCAGAAAAATACAGGGAAAAACAGATCTGGTGATTTTGTAGGGTCTTTAATTAACAAGCAGTATCTACAGTTTGTGCAGGTTGTTAAAATAGCAAAGTATTCACATTCTCAGCTTGAAAGGTGTCTTCGTTGGAATTCACTGATGGGTTTCAAGTGCTCCAGCAAGAGACATCATTTTTAAAAGTTTCTTTTTTTTTTTTTTTCCCTATTTCAAGTTAATAAAAATGCGTTTGGAGGGAAACCAGGTATTCCTTGTAAACTTCATTTTTTGCTTTATTTTGCAGCATTGGAATGAAGTTCTGCTCAAACTGTGCTAGCTAAGCCCAAATGATTTCAAACAGGTCTCAGTACTATTTCACCGAATGTAAATTGCTCAGACAAATCCATTTCTGTAGCTGAAAAATGGGGAGGCTTTTATCCCATGATTTCTTACTAACTTTGTCCCTTTTTTAAGACTGAAAAAGAACTTGTCTCTTTCAAGGGTGAGAATTATTCCATCTTTTTGTTAGTTAGCTGCAGAAAAGACTTCAGTTAACTTCTGAAGTAAAAAAAGTGACATAAAGCACAAATGCCTTAACCCACCAAGATCTCCCACCTGAGTACGCAGCCATGTGTGGGGTTTTAAACTTGTCTCAGAGGTGGTAACAACTCCATTAATTTTACCCAGTCTTTTGTAAGTGGCCTTCTAAATGAATTTAAATGAACACATTCCAGTATTTCAAGTAATAATATCCTATAAATATGTGGAAGCAATGCATCTCAGTGTCATGTTTGATGTGACCCATGCCTTTTGCTATTCAAGAAAATGATGTGAATGTAAACTTGGATTGAAATTGTATATACAAGTAATAGATTTAAAATAATTCCTTTCAGTTTTTCATTGGGAAATGTGCAGATTAAGCTTTCAGTGTGTGCAATTTTGTGTTATCTTGCAAAATTTTATAACAGCAGCAAACTGAACAGTGTTGTGTATCAACCTTTTTTTCCCCACCCCAAAGTGTGAAGAAAAAGGACTTGAAAGAGTGTGCCACAGATTTGCTTCTGTACTCCTGTTGTTTCTGGTGCGCTAAGGTCTCAGGGACACACAGCCTGTTGATGGCTGAAGTGATTCTTGGAGTGTGAGCCACCTTTCTTCAATATTATTTTTCTTCATGTGACCTGTCAAAGATGACAGGTGAATGAGAAATATGGCGGAAAGCAAGGAGAGTGAATACTTGACCTGCTGGGCTGTCCTGTAGGCCTCACTATTAGTCTCACTTTATGTGGACAAAAATCCACCCAGCTCCATCTGCCTTTCAGGAGCGCCTTCATTCACTTCCCTGAGGTTTGAATCTTCTTCCCTCTCTCCCCTTGCAGACAGGCAGCAAAAATGATACTTGCATTACTGGTGTTTGCATGCTGAGCTGAGAACAAGCCCACTGAATTTTAGAATAGACCCCAGAGACTTTCCTGGCTAAGCAGCTTGTTTCTCTCTATGGCTTTTAAAGCAATGAAGCATCTTTCAATAGCTGGCATACCTGTTGCAGGGACATAATGCTTTCCAATGCATCTTAGGTCCACTTGAGCCAGTCTTCAATTTGTCTTTCTTAAGACTGGTTGTATTCTAACAGTAGACTATTACTAAATGCTTAGCAGGTCTTAGACCTTTCCTTGTTTAGGTTTGTCTTCATTTCTTGTATTGAGAGGTTACAATATCCCTTTGCAACTTATACTTCCACAAACTCCACTATGAAAATGCAGTAAACAGTCCAATTCCAAAACCTAACCCCATGATGGGCTTTACAGCTTTTAACTTGTCAGGTATCTTTGTTGTATGACCCAAGTAACAAAAGAATTCAGAGTACAATTTAAATGGCAATTTTATACTGTTTTAAAGAAATTTAATCATTTCTGTTACCAGTACTAAGGTTGTGCTGTGGTTAGAACCTTCAAAGCTGATTGAGATTTCTTTCTAGTAAAATATGTAAAAGCTCAGGGCAGTGATTTCATCCCTGTTAAATGGGGGCTGGAGTCAGCCAAGAGAAAGGGAGTTTTTATACCAACAGTAATTGAATGGTTGTGGTCTAGTGACAAATCCCAACTGGCCACAGGAACTCCACACTGAGAAGGTGCTTTATTGTCAGATGCCTAGAGAGCGTTAATGTGTAGGCTTTGGTGAGAGGTTGGTAAAATATGATTGTCACAAAAAGGAGAAAGTGAACTTTGTAAGCAGAATGGGACAATTCAATTTGTGAATCTTTCAGGAAGGCTGAAGTGCCAGACACAACCTTTCTAGAACAGGTTAAAGTTGCTGCCTTCTGGTACAGGAAAATATACACAAAACCACAAGAATCTGCAAAGGGAAAGGGCGAGGAACACTTCGGGTTTGGTTTGGGGTTTTCTTTGTGTTTTTAAGTTCACATAAACACCTTCTTCACCTGCACTTGAACCAACCTTGGCACGTGTTCTTGCAAAAGCAAGCTTAAGGCCCTATCTAGATAGTAAACATCCACCTTTAATCATAACGTAGAAGAAGCCAGAGGAAGGATTGGCTAGTAACATTCATACAGAATTTGTTTGGTTTCCATATTTAAGCTAGCTTTCAAGGCCAGGCTTATGTTACTACTGATGTTAAATAGGAAAAGGGGTAAATAGCCAAAGCTACAGCTGCATCATTCCATTCATGCTTGAAAGAGCTGTCAGGCAATGGCAGGGGCAGGGTTTTCTCCACAGCCTGTATTGCAGTGTTAACATGGGAGAGAACCAAGGCCTTCATCACAGAAGTGCTCTGAGCATAATACATGAACTTCAGCAACACAGCAGCCCAAAGTGGCTAAAACAGTGAGTTACATGTCAAAAAAACCTATACAGGCTGTCCTAAAAAGCAAAACCAACTCAAAGCAGAGCTAGGATAACCATTCTGTTCAAAGTACTAGGTCTTGATTAGTATTTTGTACTATTCTACCCAACAACGCCTCTATTTCCTGGAGGAAATAAAGCCCCATAAACTTTTACTGTAAAATTACAAGAGAGACTCAAAGCATAAATCAGGTTTAACTATTCCTTATCCTTCACAATGAAATTAAACCTGATTTTGCAGGAAAAAGTTACAAAATCACTTAGAACTAAGATATTTGGAGCGAAGTAAGACCAGAAAAAGAGTGCCAAACTGCTGCTTCAAGTTGTGTCCAACTCTGAAGGATACAAGATTTAAACTTTAGCCAAGGGAAAGTAGATCTAACTCAATAAAAAGATAGAAACAAGCTTCTAAAATGGTAACTCTCTAGCTCTTTGTGGAAATTTAAGATATTCTGGTCACGTTAACACCATGGTACAACTTTTTTTACATCAAGGTTTAAAAATAGATTTCCTGCCACATTAAAGGATTTTTGGGAAGCAGTGTACAAATCAGAAGTGTCAAAACAAGTGCCTATTCAAACCAGTTCAATGCTAAGTCTAGCTTAGGAAAACAAGTTGGATATTAAACTGGACGTGTGTTCTGCTTCCAGTGATGATAAGAAATAGCCCCTTCAACTCCCTTATGTTGCTACAACACAATTCAACACATGGTCAGTATCAAGCTGTCAGTTTAGTTAATAGTGGATTTTGACCAGGTGATTGACACAAATGTTGCAAGGATGAATGTCTCCATACCACTGTTACATTAATTGTACTGATGGATCTGATGTTACTTGAAATTATTCTGTGTGTCAATTCTTTTATAAAAATGAAGTCTATCGTGTGCTTTAAAGCACTTTTTTTCTAGGTTGCCAGCTTTAAATCACTACTGACATTGGATGTAGGGTGAATGAGGTTAATTTAGATCTGCTAAACATCAAAATACAGGACTAAGTCTATGCAACATACTGCTGCCATAGAATATTTTGTATTCTTCTCTGGTACCATTAAGTTACTTCAAAACAGAACTCCTGCTTTACCTGTCCTGCTGTTCAACCAAGCCTAAACCATAAAAGTAAAAATAGTAGTGTTGCTGTTCTAAAACAGTAGCAATAATCATACAAACCTTCATGTATCCGCACTACAATTAAATGTCACCACATTTCTTTCAGAAAGAGAAAGGAAAAGGCTGCACATGGGTCAGGAAGTCACAGTACTGTGACTGTCCTGTCTTGACAGTTGGGTAAATGCCTCTTCCCACTCCACAGCTATTCACATCTTGGTGGCGTGAAGAGGTGTAACAGCTGGCACAAAAGCTAAAAGTGAATGTTGTACTTCATGCTGTGAATGAAGTGCAGGGTAATACCTTTTATAGCAAGATTTAGCTAAAAAAGCAGCCTCGTGAAGCACCCAGATGAACTGGGATGTAAGTACTTCTAGCTCCCGGCTGGAGGAGTTTTCTTTATTTGTTTCATTTACATCAATATAAGTTTCTTTTCAAATAGCAATTAAAAAAAAGAAGTGTTGCCTGGAATTTCACAGTTTACAGCTCAGTAGAATGCGTCTGTAGGTATCTGTTACTGCAGACTTGTCAGAGTTGAGCGCCGCAAGAAGAGGTACAGATCCAAGACATAAATCTGCAAGTGATGAACTTAATAGTGTCCCTGCTCCAAACTCAGCAGAACAGATGGTGAAATTTCTGCAACAGGTTGAGTGAGACCCGTGTACGGATCTCCAGTGTCCTCCTATCAGTGCCACACAACATACTGCTTTTGCTGTAGATCACATGATTTCCTAAAATCGTTCTCCTTCAGTTACTTATTTTTTCCCCACCAAAAATGCATTGGTATAGGCTTATTAACTACAGCTTACCTCAGTTAAGTCTTCCAGAGTCTTCAAAAGCTGGGACTTGAAAGGAAAAAATAACAGCCTGAGGACAAGGAACAGCATGAACAGGGGTTGGATACTTCATGTTCAAGACTTTTTCCCCCTCCTTTGTGTTCCAGCTCTACTCAGGAGCTTCCATACACAGCCTGACAGCATGGTTGGTATTGTACATGCTTTGTTAAAATGGTACTCATATTTACAATATCTGCAGAAACAATCCCTCCCCAGTCTTATGTTCAGATAGACACGCACACATCCACACGTGCACATGCGCCTTCACTCTACAGGGGTGTGAAGGCTACGCTCTCAAAAGTTAGGCAGCTTCTGGAAGAGGAGGAAGGGTGACATTTTGTGTTTGTAATTACTTAAAAAGAAGCATGGGAATATGTATTTGGCCATCACAATGCTAATTTAAGTATATGTAGTATTAACATATGGCAGTAACACTGAGTATTCCTCTTTTACATTCTATACACAGAACGACATCAAGGTTTTCCAGTCAACAGAACATTCTAACTTGTCTCGATGCTGCTTGTAGTGACTATGAAACCACAATTTTGGGGCCGTCCCTTAAAACAATTCAAGTCTATGTTAACAAAATAAGGCACAATTAATACTCAATTTCACTTGGAGGATGAGAAAAGGTAGGGAGAGGCAGGCTTCAGATAATAGTTGTTGCAGAGGACACGGTTTTACCCAGTCCTTTTGAGAAGAGGATAAATTTTACACCCCCATCCTAATCTACATGGACTTCTCTTAGAGAACTGAAGTATTCTGCCAGGGCTACAAATGCCCACATACAAAACAAAATTGGAAATTCACATTTTAACACCAGTTTCGGTAGTCTAACCTACTGATACTGATGTACACAAGCACTTTAATGCTGAAGAAGGAGACACACATGAAACAAGACTCAAACCTTCCACTGAGCTTGAAGACTCAGGTCTTTTAGAGAGCTTCTAGTACATACTATTTGAAGGCTTCAGCTTACTGATAAAAAGGAATAGCGTTTTTGCCTTTAAACCCCTGGCTCCTCTTCACTAACAAAGCCTAACCAGACATTACAAATAAACTGCAACAAAAAGTCTGGCAGCACAAACAATGTCTAGTATTCAAATCTTCCTTTGTGAGTATATTATTTTCCTTGTACAAAACCTGTTGAATGTTTTTCGCAGCAGATGAACTGTACCCAAAGATGCAGGACATTCTGTGATGGGGAATAAGAGGTTGCAGTTCCGAAGGCCCCTGACTTTGGTTGTTTACAAAGTTCATTCCTGTTTAGTGTGATCCTTGGTATCTTCTTCATCTGTGTATTCTGATGGTTCTTCCCCTGGTTTTAGGAGTCTACCAACGTAGTCGTATTTTTCTGAAAAAGATCGATGATTCCATTATAATCAAAGGCAGCTACATTTGCTACTCAGCCAGCACTACCACAGATTCACTTCTACACACCAGGGTCCTAAGCCTGAATCACCGAAATTGATGGCAAAATATCAGCAAGCTTAGCCCCTAAAACAGTCTTGCTGCCACCACTGCTCACTACTTTCTCTACTGCGAGTACTTGGTTTCAATTCTCCCACAGCTAATGAGGCAAGCTGTATCACACAGTAACTCAAAATGCTGCTATTAAAACCAGTACAAATTTTAGTAAAACCAGCCTGTTTTGATTTCAATTCATGTGAAAAATTACTTCCTCTCCCTCCAGTGGCATACTTCATGCTTTTGAGAAATTATTTTGAGACAAACTTGTTCAACCCTTAATGCCAAAACAGCTCTTAGTCCTAATTGGAATTCCATCAGCTAAGCTACACTGAGCTTCGATAGTGAAATTCTGTGCTGAAGAGCGAACAATTCTCTGGTATAAAACCAGAAGTTTGAAAAAGCTATAGCGGGATATAGTGGAATCCTCTCCATTAGAAGAAAGGCCTGAAATCCCAGGTCTTTTCCCAAGAATTTTACATTGCATTACAAACATTACTGTCAATGTCTCTTTAAAAGCTGCCCCAAACCCAAGTCAGTCATTTTTACTAAAAGCATTCCCTTAAACTAAAGATGTGCTGCTAATTTGAGATTTTACCTTTAAATTGCATTTCCCACTCTCTCACGCTTTCCATCTGTACAGCATTTAAGTCCGATAGGTCATCATACTCATCTCTGAGTGCATCTTTATCTAGACGGAAAGTTGCTAGTCCCCTGGAGGCATCTCTGCCAGCAAATATTCCATACGGACCATCTGAAAACAAAAAGACAAAATCAACACCTTCAAGACCTTGTTTATGGCGACCAATCTCAGTTCTTTATATAGTCTGCCCAAGCCACACATTAAACTTCTGCAGTGATGGGAACAGCAGTAGTTCAAACATGGCTGCTTGACATTCAACAGCACTGCAAGTCAATCTTAAGTATCATTAAGAGACAAAGTCAGCCGAGAGAAGCAGAAAGAGAAAAACAGCTTTGAAGGGATATCTGGAAAAATCCCTTTCATTTGATGCAAGTCAGTGGAGGTAAATTCCAAAGGGACTGGAGGCTGGAATTAAAAAGAAGCACACTTCTATTAAGCAAAACATATTTACAAGTCAGGCATGAATAGAAGCACATTGTACAGACATCTTAATTAGAAATCCAGTGATTTTTATCAATAAATACAACTTGAGTGCTAATTAATAATTCACTTATGGAACCACCACAACTTTCTACCTACTTGATAGGCAGTGTGTCTTTTGACACATTTCTGTGGAATAACCTCACATATGTTGGGCAGCAGATCATCCATGCACCTATCCTGGACTGTTCTGGAAAACTGCACAAATCATATTCAGAATGTAAAGCAACTACTTCCTTTGTGCTTTCTGACTGAGGCAAAGCAGCACAAATATGCTCATAAAATACTGAGCAATGACTGTCTAATCAATATTATTACAAAGGGGATGATCTACAAACCAACACCTTTCAGGATGAGGTTTGTAACTTTCACAAATTCCACTTAATCTAAACAACTTCAAGCATCTTGTTTTGATTTTCTTGACCGAATACCAAACAACTTAATTCAGCTTGATTAAGAAACCAAAACAAAACTTGACCATGTTCTGCACTAAGCTACACTGCAGCAGCTAAGCAATAGGGAAATGCCTGAGGCATTCTAAAGAGTAGTCACTACTCCAAGATAAATAAGCCAGAACCCTTCTCTGGCTTACCTCTCAGAAGATGACAGTGGCCGTCAGCCTGAAGAAAAAGGCAGCACCCATGGGCAAGAATGAACACAAGCAAGTGGTAACACACAGTCCTTCACCCCCTCTGTTGCCTCCTGTAGCACCTCAGACCTCTTCTGCACCAGGACAAGCCACAGGGAATCATTCCAAGAGGCTGGTTTCCTCTCAGGCCGCTTGCTCCAGCCACCACACCTATCTGCTCTTGCAGAGCATTGACTTCAGGGATGAGACAGAGGCTGAACGCAGCAGAAAAAACTCCTGAGACATAGAACCTAAGTACCATATGGATTAACAGCAACTCTGTCCTCATCAGACCGGCTGTTGTCTCTCCACCCCAGAGTGCTTGGCATTCTAAGTTGCTTACAGTCAAATCCAAGAAAAGATGGGTATCTCATGTGCAAAAGACAATTTCCTTGTCTCTCTGGAAATAAACCAACTGATTTAAAAGCAAAATTTCACAAGCAGTAGATATCCAAGAAAGAATTATCAACTGGAAGCCTGCACTGTACAAATCTTGCATTAAGAGATCATCATAATAACTATTGGGATCTCCATGCTTGTCCTTTCGGATATTTAGCTCCAGGAACAGCATTCACTTCCTCTGGGATCAGGGACTACATTTACAGTACTAAGAGAACCAAAAGTCTAGAGTGCTTGTGAACTCCTTTCTACTTGTAGCCTGAATTAAATGTTTATTTTAAAAA